TGTGAGAACGCGGGAAGTTCCGTTAGTGCATGCGCCATGCTACGTCATTGCTCTATCACGTACGCACAGTCGCTTCGCGCAATATAAGGTTTGCTAGCTGTGGGACGAGTGGGAAACTTACTTTGAGGACGCGCCTCGTATATTGCCTTCAATTTTATCCTTTTACTGATCTTACAGAAACTGGCGTTCACGAATAAATTGTGAGGAGATTAAATTCAAGAATTGTCTTATCTGTAATTTTTTAATGGTTCGAAACTAGGTCCCTCGCGTTAAGATCTATGATGTTTGATAACTTGCTGAAGACAGTAAAATGAATGCCTAATGGGGAGCTTATAATCTGTAGTCTTAAAAAAGATTAAGATAATTAAATCGAAAAGGGTGGGAGAAGATGTCGTTTGGGATAATTTGGCAAAAAAAATCGGATGATAATATTAAAGTGAACGCGTATGACGGTGTAGACCGGATTCGTCTGTAAGACTTGGAAGTTTTTACGACGTCTCGAGCTGTCATCCGTGTCATTTCGAAGAAAAAGTCGGATCTTTTAAGAGATGTTAACAGTCCGCGATCAGGGAGTGGTGTCCTCTGGTTCGTTGTAGGGATGTGTGGCGGGCTCTTGTGATCAAGGCAGTAAGCCCGCGGGTCCCAAAAAAAAGTCGGAGAAGTTGTTGACCAGGTGAGGGGAATTTTTGCAGCCACGTCGTTTTCGCACCGAACGTTTCGTAAGATAAAATTGCAGTCATCTTCAGGGTGAAATAAAACGACAGTACGTGCTGCTGGATTTTTTCGCATTCTGTATTCTGCCGCTCGATAAAATTTGTAGTTGGAACAGCGGTGTTAAATCTATGGATATAGTAACTGGGATAATAAGTTGCGAGTAAATATTTGAAGAAATAATTTACGTTAAAATCTGGCAGGAAAGACGAATAGCAGAGAGAGAGAGAATAGAAGAGAATGGGGTGAGAAGGAGATAGAGAATGAGACGCGTGGCAAGGAAGATTTAGGCTTTGAAGTCTTGAAAACAACTCGAAGGATCAGAATTTTGCAAGTCTTTTTTTCGATGGTCTTCAGCTTAAAAGAACGGGCAAAGACAATGGAAGAGAAGCTTTGGGGATGGATCATCACCAAGGATGGACAGGATGACGATATTGATGATAAAAAGAAATCATTTGACATTGAATGAAGAAGACTCTGGCTAGTGAAAGTACTGTTAAAGACTCAAGGTTGCTCGTTCACAAGGCCCACTGAAGAAGGAAGAGTTTGTGGGGGGGGGGGGGGGGGGGGGAAGAAGAATAAGAAGAATTTCAAGACGTTGAGATGATAATGAAGATGGAGGGATGCTGTAAGGTCATCGTAGGTAGGCCTATTTATGGATATGCATAATGTGTTCTTGTATTTTTATAAAACATTACCTTTTATCTCGCCACGTCTTTGTTCGGTCCTCCTCACTCTCGTTTTCATCTCTCTCTCTCCTTTACAATCAACGGAGAGCCGCGACCTGGCAAGGTAAGTGTGACCCCCCTCCGTGGTCCAACCCCCACCCCAGACTTACCGAAGACTTCATATAAAAGCCAATGACAGCCACGAGTAAACGGATTTCCAAATAAAGATTCAACAGGTGAAAAGGTAAGTCTCAGGTGTGATTCTTCGGCGTTCAGTGACTCAGAGAGCGGTTTCTGGTACAGGGAATCGGGTTCTGTAGTTCCCTGGCTTTTGTCCGGTGGGTGCTGAACAGTAGTAGGTCGCCCCTCACGTCGAAGGACACTGGAGTTTGTGATTAGTGACTGAGCCAATGCGTTCCGGAAGCTGTGTCACCCCCCAGGCATCAGATACGATGTGACGATTTAGAGGAATCCAGAAACTTCGTGAACGTCAGTGATGACACGTGCTCGTGTCTTATATGTCAGTGATTTACAGCCTGGTAGAAGTTTACCGACGTTTCGAAAGTAATTTCTGCCTCCATCATCAGGGCGGTGAGTTACTCATCGGTAAACTAGTCGATTTATTTCGATCTCAGGCGTATGAAATGCCAGATTGCGTGAGAAAATTTCTTGGTGAGGAACTTTAGCCAAACCTCAAGGGGGGGGAGATTAGGATCACGTACGCGTAGATGGAAGTATAATATTAAAGTGGGTCATAAGGAAGGTTGGACGGTGCGAGGTGGATATATTCATGTGGCTTAGAATAGGAACTGATTAACACGGAATTAGTCTAGTCTTGTTCCATAAAAGGCAGGACATTTCTTGACTGAGAGACTTTTAAGTTGCTAGGAATAACTCTGCTCGGTTTAAGTTAGGTTAACCGTGTTGGAAGGTACTCGTTTCACTCGTGTTTTGTTGAAGCTGTTACCATTCCCGAATTTAATTAAAATCTGGTGGCCTTCGTTGATAGAGGGTGTTCGAGAACAGGGCGTTGAGGACAATATTTTGATCTGTGAGAGGAGAAATATTAGAATAAATATAGATAATTGCGTAGCGATGTTTCGTAATTTATCTTCTACACCAGATATTGTTAGGGTGATCGTGTGAAGGGAACGGACCTTTTGTCAGACATAGGCATAGATGGGAGTATAATATTAAAATAGATGTTAGATGGTCACGATAATGAACCTTACGTGAACAACTGTTAGCTTCTCAAGTAGTATTCTGAAGATGACTGTCTTCTGGGTTGTTGCGCCGTGTTGTCTGGTAGAAGTTTACTGATGTTTCGGAGGTAATTTCTGCCTCCATCATCAGGGCGATGAGTTACTCACCTACGTGAAAACATCAAATCCGGGTGTGAGCGATGTTTTTGGAAATTAGTTAACATAATATAAATCGTCAGCTGACATGGTGAGTGTCCATATGTACTTTTAAGTACGCATTTGTGATGGATGAGTAACCTGATGGGCCGTCTCTCGAATATTTATGGTTGCCGCGCCATTAGTGTCGGTATACCCGAGGCCATGTTTACGTTAAGCCGATCCTGCGCGCTGGTTACCGTTAGTTTCGCGAGTATTCGCCGAACTCTCCACGTGGCCCATTCATCGAAACCTGGATCCTACTTAGCGCCCGATAGAACGGAACTTGCTTCTCGTAGTGGACTCAGCTTTTCCTTCGCACTTTCACAACGCGAAACGAAACAACAAAAGTGTAATAAGTACTCTTGCTTGTGTGGATTTAGATTCGTGTTCGATTAAACGATTAATCGATCGCATTATCGATATTCTCCCGATGCTCCAATGGTTTGTGACGACGTTCGATACGAGTGGGTGAGATAAGGAAGTCTTTCTTGCTGACCGGAACTGAGTTTTCGTGACGGAAAAAATCCAGTTCCGACACTCTTGTACGTAAATGAAGTCTATACTCATTACAGACGGTTAAAATTACATTTTTTTAAGAGTTGTTTTCCCGCTTTGTGAATATGAGCTATTCGAGACTTAACCTATGACTTTTGTAGATGTTAGGGAATTTCCCACGCGAGAACTCCCCCAGCTGGTGAGTTCTCGACGCTGTCATTTTGGAACTTGAGGGTCCTCAGCTATTCCTGCCCCCCATTTTGTCTAAAAATCTATATGTATCGACAGATTCTAGTGTCTCTCCCCCCAACACAAAGTCTCTGTACGTGTACAGACAAACGGACGCATAGTAATCAGCGTAATGCAGTGTGAAGTCCACCGTCTAGTGTCATTTCTCTCTTACAGATGAAGTTCTCCGGTCCTTGCGTGGTGGCGATTTGTACCGTGTTCGCCATGGCCTCTGCAGCCATCAGCGAGATTCGACAGCCGAGCAGCCGACCTGGTCGCTTCCTGTCTCTCCCCGTGCCTGCCAAGTGCAGCCAGAGTAAGTAATTTGGCATTTCATACGCCTGAGATCGAAATAAATCGACTAGTTTACCGATGAGTAACTCACCGCCCTGATGACGGAGGCAGAAAAGACCTCCGAAAAGTCGGTAAACTTCTACCAGACTACGCGGCGCTGTAACCCAGAAGACACCCGTTCATTCCTTCTTTACATAACTTAAACAGGAGCCGGCATAGCTCAGTCAGTGTAGTGACTGGACGACCGGGGTTCGATCCCCGACGAGGTCAAAGGATTTTTTTTTCTGTAGCCTCTGCGTCTAGACCGGTTCTGGGGTCCACCCAGCATCCTCTCCAATGGGCACTCGAGGTTTTTTTTCCCCGGGCGTAACTTAAATAAAAACCGCGGATACTTTAAATCAGCGGTTGGCGATGGATTGTGAGGTCACGCTAGTAGGCGTTCTACTGACAGTTCAGAAAACATCGGTAGAGGATCTCCCTGTCCTTACGTCCTGTGAATTACTTTTTAAAACCTCCTTGTGCTGGTGTTAGCTATTCCTTACGTGTATAACCTCACGCAATTGGTCGAAGGAGCGGATGTTTTCTATCAGAGTAGTACAGATAACTTCCGTTTTCCCGAGACTCGTCCCAAGGTAACCTGCCTGTACTGTACTTCGTAATTTATAAATCTCAGTTCGTGTACAATGGCGGACTTCGATGCTGGCGAGGTTGAACTTTGGGTTATTTTTTTTGCCAGAAAGCTTCGGTTAAATTAATCAGTTAGATAACTTGCATTGGTGCAGTCTATTTTGTGACGTCATTGTAAATAATCGACCGTCTACACAACAAATAAGGAACTGTTATTGAATAAATAGTTAACTCTCACATAACCCCGATTTCGACTATTTCAATTGATTCCGTCATCGTAATCATTGCTTTTGGATACACGTCAACCCTCGTAATCCTTTTTCATAGTTTATGAAGGATGTTTTGTATATTATTCTTAACAAAGGCAGTGTAGAGGTCAATTCTTTTGCCCCGATGTACCTCGTTTCTTCCATAAACACGAAACAATATCAACACAGAAGTTCGCATCTACTGCTCTGTGGTGGTGACGTCATCGAAATATAAGAAACCGCCATAAATTGTTTGTTCTGTAACCCCTCAGAGATTTTAATTTGTGTTAAAGGACGTACTTATTTTCACCAGGGAATTTTGTTTCGTTTGCGCTGGACAGTTGGCAATAGAATCACAAGATAAAACTTAAGACGTTGCGCGCGCAGTTTCAGTGACTCGCCCCCAGCCATTTTGATTCCGGGGACTATAAATTAAGAGGAGCCCTCTTTATCACTTTGAAATTTCGTGAGATTTTATACGTTTTTCGTCGAAGGTCGACTGTTCAGTAAGAAAATATCTCAGACGATGTATTGACGTAAGAGGTGACCATCTGATTAGCTTCTGAAGTTCCTTGACCCCAGTGAACTTTATGGCCAGCTGTCTGTGTGTAGATTATTTCTACCGCGCCGCCATGACAGGCAAAATGACCTTTCTCTCAGATGAACCATGAACTTACCTGCCTGGAGTCACCAAACCTTATAAAAATTCTACTGGTTACATTCTTGTTTGAAGGTCTATGATATTAATCGCCTATTTAATTACGATTTTCATGGATGTTAAGACAGTCTGGTTGTGAATAATAATAATAATAATTTCCGTCTAGTGCTTATTCTTCAACTCGTGTGATTTATTTGGGTTTAAAACCTTCATTCCAGCTTGCTGTTAGTTGTAAGGTACAGGAATTGTAATGTCTCGGAACGAAAAATGTTAATTATCTCAGAATCGGAGATCGAAAATCGATCAGAAATCAGAATTGAGGAGGAAAAGCTTACGAAAGAAATCGTGTCTCATTTTGGATCAGTTGTAATTTATAAATATAACGGGAATTTTTAAAATATTAAGTGTTTCTCGCTGAGCCAACCTCTTGACAGACGGGGTCGTTGAATTTTTACGTACTCTGGCGGCCAGTTGTGAAAACCACCGTTTCCCCGCGAGCGGCCAACATAAAAGAAACTTCCCGAAGTAATAAAGTCTTTAGTAAAAACCTTGGGATTAAATGTCCTTTCATAATGACTTGTGTAAACGAGAGAAATTTGCATGTTGAATAATTATATTATTGCATTGTAAATTGATGTGCGATGTGTAGGCAGCATTTAAATGCCAGCGACCAAAGACCATCTGTTGATTATCATATGAATTTAGTATCGGAAGATGGCTGTCTCCTGGTCTGGTGGAAGTTTACCGACGTTTCAGAGGTGGTTACCGCTTCCATCATCAGGGCATCAACCCAGAACACAGCCATCTTTTTCGTGAGACGTGTTCTTTATGTCCTGAACAAATGTCAAACGCCAGTGTGACCCTTTGAAGTCGAAGCTCGTCTACGTAACATTTAATATAATTCAGTCCGTACCGCGAAGAAAACACTGCACTTCACCATTACAAAGATCGACCGAGTAGGATCTGAGGTTTTCAAGGCGGTGAGTCCGAAGATGGCTGACTTCTGGGTTGTAGCGCCGTGTAGTCTGGTAGAAGTGATGTTATCATCGCACTCATGATGGAGGCAGAAAGGACCTCCGAAACATCGGTAAACGTCTACCAGATTACACGGCGTTACAACCCAGGAGACAGCCATCTTCGTGCTCACCGCCTATTTTGGATTTAAAGAGTGTGCACTGTGATGGCTGTTCCTAAGTTAAACTAAAAAAAAAAAAAACTTGAGATTTAAAACACACGATTTGCAACAATTTTGCTTTCTGTACATTTTTTGTTTGTTTATTTCTTCAAATAACTGAGTTCTCCTGTGGCGTCGGGACTCGTGGGACACTCTGTATACTTCTCTTCGCTATATTTTTACCGATTGTGTCGACTTTTTCCCTGCCTTACCATAACCACTCCCGCGAATTCGTCCTCTTGGCTCGACTTAACCATTTCTGTTCCAATTTTTACGTGACCTTTGTGCAGATTGTCCGCCACTCGCATATCACGTCGTGTTGCCTTCTGTATTTTGATCAATGCGTGTGAAATCTTGCACCGTCATCCTCTCTTAAACTTTCTATTCATACGAGAGCCTTGTCACCTGATGACGTTAGTTGAACCAACTACCGAAACATATATGTATATTTTTTTTATTATATATTAGGCATGTCAGTTAATATCGATACATCTATACTATATGATATCGATGTGTATTTAATTATCGATATATCGCGTAATTTCTTGGATGAAAAATTGGTGGATAAACCAGGAGAGAATTCCGCGAGACGTTTCGGTAGGTTATTAATTAGGAAGAATGTAATGTATAAATAACCGTAATAAATAAGCAGTGCAGATGAGAACAGCGTACAAAGGCGACTTCGTAAAGATTAACATCGCCGTCAGACAAAGAGCTTTCATCAGAGCGTAAATCGTGCCTGTGCCAGAAACTGAAACCTCAAAGAACTGCGTTCACGTGCCCTGTCGCAATTCCAGTGACGTTGACCGACTTAAGTCAGCTGTTCAAGATGCAGGCATCACGACGCGGCCAATTCAATTACTTACGTGTTTTTACTTCATAAAATTTCGAATCAACTACGTAAGAATGAGAAATACGGTCTGTATGGATTTCGACAAAACATTGCACACAAATTGATATCATGAATTCTTAATAAATGGGCCCCATATATATTTTATTACCGTGAGGAAATTACGCTCCGATTTCTCATCCGCCCTGATGATGGCGGCAGAAAGCGCCTGTGAAACGTTTGTAAGCGTCTAGACATATTACACGCGCGAAACAACCCAGGATGCAGCTGTCGTTGGTACGCGTCAGTTGATACGTTGTCGTCTTCATCTGCACACCGCCGGTCCGCCATGTTACCGCGAAACAGCGTTAAATTTAAAACTCAAAACGACGTAATTTAAGGAGTGATACGACCTTTTTTTTTTACAAGATTTCGTATGTGAGGGTGATTGGAACTGTTTCAGTACTCGAAACTGTGATACGAGTTTTCATCTTCGTCATGATTGACCATGACGAAAGTTCGCTTTCGGGGTCGTCACGCCGAGCTACGAGTTTGCGTGTTCAGATTCGCCCACTTTCCATTAAACCGCGGTTGATTGAGGGTTGTCATTCGCGTTGAGCAACTATTCAGTCTCGAGCAGTAGATAAACGTAAAAGGTTTTTCGAGTCTCGTAATCTTTTTGAGATGTTACAGAAACGCGAATTGCCACGAACTGTTCATTCTCTTCTGCTCTTTTCTGGTGTTGGGAAATTTCCTGACGTCATCAGGCGGTTTACGGAACAAGACCTGAAAGTTTTAACCCTTACCGGAATGCGTTCTTACTTTCTTCCCAAATTCTGAGTTATTAATAAAATTAAACGTCAGTTATCTCTCGTAGACAGCCTTAGTTTCCAGCTATTCTAACTATTTCAACGTAATGTCTTCTTTAACTTGCGTTAATCGATTACCAAAATCTCAAAAGACGCCTTATCTCTGTGTTAAAATACGGAACACGTGATTGGATGGGATTGAACTCTGATCAGGTACATTATACTGCCGTATTGCAAGTGGCGCTAGTGTTGATCCCATCTCACAAGCTTGTTCGTCCGCCATATTGTTAATATCGATAGTAGGAATCGAAAGTGTTATTTTAGGGCAGTCCCCAGTGTCATAACGCCCGTATCAAATGTAATCCAAGACTGGAAGGTTCTCGTTTGTTGGGCGATGTGGCCGATTTAATACGCACGCGTAGCGTAACACAGTTGTCATGTATTTTGATAACCTCAGGTGCCAAATCCATTTTCCAACTTTCCTTCAACAGCTCCCGCTGATTATGTTATTCAGTTTGACCCCTATTGGGACAGGGGTCAGTACACCCACGTAGACACACGCACACACAAACATGTCAGTTGTCACTAAAGGTCACCTGCAACTTTCCCCGTCTTGTCATTCTTGGGATGACCGCGCCTGTAACTCGGCATACCGCGCGCCACCATTTTGTTATAAATGAGTGTACGTGGGCGACGCTGGTTTTGCACAAGAAATCCACCGTTTTAGCTCAAATTAGGTTCTTAAAATGTTGTCACTGTCTGTAATAATTCCTAGAAGTGTGTGCAAGAGATTTTCAGCGCCTTATAATGTTCGTATGCCAAGCCACGGTGGTCTAGCGGTTAGAACGCTGGCCTTGTAATCCTGGGGGGGTCTCGGGTTCGATTCCAGGCGGTGCCCGAATTTATAACTTGTGTTGGGCAAGGCCGTGGTCTAGGCAACACGGAGTTTTCCTCCGTGGCATCCCAACAATTACTCCATTCACACACAGAAGAAGGCAATGGCAAACCACTTCTGGATCATCTGCCAAGAACGTATATGAACAGGTCCCAGTCCGAGAACAGGATGGAAGGATCCTGTTCATATGGACCTGTCGTCAGACAGAACACTAAATAAATAAATAAAAATAAAATAATGTTCGTATGTTTCGTCTACAAGGGAAATTTAAGACTTTCTTTGGAACTCGTTACGAACTTGCACGGAATGCCAGTCGCTGTCTGAAAGAACGGGAAAATCTCTGGGCAAGTCCTCCAAAGCTTGCAAATGGCTACCTGCTGTGCAGTAAAGCTTCTCGTGACTGTCTTGCGTATTCGTTCTTGCAGTTAACACTCAACAGCAGTGATGTAATATTTGTAAAGATCGTGTTCCCATTCCCACGCGGAACTTGATGTAATGTTCGTTTCGTGAGAAGTATATTCTCGTTTATAGACCAAACACGAAGAAAAGGAGATTAGGTTCGTGCTGAATGATGGAAGGAGACGTTTATAAAAATTGTACTCTCTTCCCCTGTCATTATGTTGTAACTCAGAGGCATCATTCCTCGCGTTTCTTCTTATCTCTTACACGAAGGTTTTGCGAGGAACAAATGACGATTAGTTCACTGAACTCCTCGCAGAGAAGCACCAGTGGCTTTCGTCCCAAACAGAGCTGTTGACTCAGTCACGTTGCTCCGCAGCTCCTGCATTACAATCTCAGCCGCTTCTGCGTTACAATCTCAGCCGCTTCTGCGTTACAATCTCAGCCGCTTCTGCGTTACAATCTCAGCCGCTTCTGCGTTACAATCTCAGCCGCTTCTGCGTTACAATCTCAGCCGCTTCTGCGTTACAATCTCAGCCGCTTCTGCGTTACAATCTCAGCCGCTTCTGCGTTACAATCTCAGCCGCTTCTGCGTTACAATCTCAGCCGCTTCTGCGTTACAATCTCAGCCGCTTCTGCGTTACAATCTCAGCCGCTTCTGCGTTACAATCTCAGCCGCTTCTGCGTTACAATCTCAGCCGCTTCTGCGTTACAATCTCAGCCGCTTCTGCGTTACAATCTCAGCCGCTTCTGCGTTACAATCTCAGCCGCTTCTGCGTTACAATCTCAGCCGCTTCTGCGTTACAATCTCAGCCGCTTCTGCGTTACAATCTCAGCCGCTTCTGCGTTACAATCTCAGCCGCTTCTGCGTTACAATCTCAGCCGCTTCTGCGTTACAATCTCAGCCGCTTCTGCGTTACAATCTCAGCCGCTTCTGCGTTACAATCTCAGCCGCTTCTGCGTTACAATCTCAGCCGCTTCTGCGTTACAATCTCAGCCGCTTCTGCGTTACAATCTCAGCCGCTTCTGCGTTACAATCTCAGCCGCTTCTGCGTTACAATCTCAGCCGCTTCTGCGTTACAATCTCAGCCGCTTCTGCGTTACAATCTCAGCCGCTTCTGCATTACAATCTCAGCCGCTTCTGCGTTACAATCTCAGCCGCTTCTGCATTACAATCTCACACCGAAATAACTGCAGGATCGGCCTTCGTCGTCATGTCCACATTTAGAATACCCAGTGAATAAAACTGTTAAAGCGCTGGACGTAGTGGAACAGACCGTTAACGGGTAAACACGTTAGTTTCAGAATTTTAAATCAAAGTCTAACCGAATCCTTCTTATACGTATTGGAACATTGTTATCTCAGTACGATTTCACAATGATGCTGATGCCTTAATGACTGTAGTTCACGAAGAACTTCCTAGGAGATTAAACTCGAAAAATGTATTCCACTGTTAATTTTAGTGGTATTTTTGTTTTCTCTCCCCTTAATGAAGATTGGAACGTAAAAATTGTTTATTTTATTTATACATTGTTTTTGTGTGGTTGTAAAATTAGGTCTCTCACGTTTCTTGAGATTGATCTAAAATAGCGTGTTCAAGAGAAGAGTGGGCATTGACAGAAGACTTGAGAAAATTACGTCATGAGGAGCATTATAATTCTTTACTCTTCGCCAGTATTCTTTTGATCATGCAACGGATGATGAAATCATCGGCGAATGTCACAAGATGAAAAATCTTTACAGAATTCTGGTCCGAAACCGAGAGAGAAGACACCACTTGAAGACCTAGGCGTAAATGCGGGATAATATTAAAATGGATCTTAAAGACGTGGAATATGCGGATGTGGGCTGAATTCACGTGGACACTCGGGCTGTGTTGAACTGTCTGGGTCTATAAACGACGAGGAATTTGTTGACTGGCTGAGCGACTGTTAGCTTGTGAGGAAGGGCTTTTCCCCGTGGCGTTGGTCATCAGGGTTAGCATTGAAAGTGGGATTGTTAATTTCAAGGTACGAGGGGGGCGTCTGGATGGACAGAGAATGTGAATATGACGGAACGTGGCCATGTTTGGTCGCGCCATAGTGCGCATGCGTACTGTATCATTTCAGCGAGTGTCTGTCCCCATGTTTAAATTCTAGAACAGCTGGACAGATTTTGGTGAAACTTGGTATGGGCATTATGCCATTAGACGTCATTCCAATTTTATAATGTTTAGTTTTATTCGGTCGTCGGTAATAACATGGCTGAAGAACGAACTTGTGAGGTGAAGGCGATGCCAGCGCCATTGGATATGGGATCTTTGAGTGATGTGGCGTGATAGAGAATTAAAATGTCATGAGAGATGTTTGAAGTGAGACACTTTATTTAATAATAATTAATTAAGACAATGAAGGATTACATTTTTTAGTTGAAATATACAGTAATTAAATTTAAACTTAATGCGTTTTAATCTAAAGTAACATTTTAAGGCCAGTTTTCAGGACTGTAAGAATAAAGGATAGGTGAACGTTTGTGAGAGTAGGTCCTTGTCACTGACACGTGTTACCCAGCAGGTGTGACGATAGTGATTGCCCTCTGAGGTGACTGGAAACAGAAAGTTATCACGTGTTAGGACAGCTTGACCTACGCCAAGCTGTCGTTGGCTCGTAACTACCAAAGTTTTCTCTCACCGAGTGGTCAGGTTACATTTCTTCATCAGTTAACAGCTTCTTGTTTTACGTGTCTGAGAAATTTTAATTTACGTCTCAGGCTAACCAAACAGTAACCTCACAATTTAATGAACGGATGTTTCATTGCAGGCTTTGAGGTTTTCACGACGGTAAGTATGAAGATGGCTGTCTTCTGGGTTATAGCTCGGTGTAGTCTGGCAGAAGTCTACCAACGTTTCAGAGGTGGTTACCGCTTCCATCATCAGGGCAACGACCCAGAAGACAGCCATCTTTTTCGTGAGACGTGTTCTTTGTGTCTTGAACAAATGTCAAACGCCAGTGTGACCCTTTGAAGCCGAAGCTCGTCTAAGTAACATTTAATATAATTCAGTCCGTACCGCGAAGAAAACACTGCACTTCACCATTACAAAGATCAACCGAGTAGGATCTGAGGTTTTTACGGCGGTGAGTCTGAAGATGGATGTCTTCTGGGTTGTCGTAGTCTGGCAGAAGTCTACCAACGTTTCGGAGGTGGTTACCGCTTCCATCATCAGTGCAAAGACCCAGAAGACAGCCATCTTTTTCGTGAGACGTGTTCTTTGTGTC